ACATATAAACACACTTGTGCCTGCACAAAGGTATTGTTACATCAATGCACTCACTAAATTTATTCAAGCAATGCAGGCACAGAAACAGAAGCTCACAAACACTTCAGGTACGTGTGCACTCGTCACCCATGCTCATGCACACACATGGCTGGAGAGGCAGGGGCTGAGGACATGGGGACCTGAATGAGGAGACACTGGGAGACTTTTCTGGCAGGGCAAGGTTGTAGTGCTCTGAGCAGGACAAGATTCCAGATGAGCTGACAGCACAGTTCGCTGATGTGCAGGGACAGCCCAGTGAGCAGGACCCCAAGGAGGTCGTGCAATTTCACCACTAGGCAGTGGGATGAGGAAGAGAACTGAAACCCATCAGTCCAGCCCACCTGCCTTGGCATCCAAACACTGGAGTGAATTGGGATGGAGGGAAAGAGGAAGACACAGCAGACCTGCATACAGGGTACCCCAGGCCAGCATCACTTGCCTGAGATGGATCCATCGCAGCAGCTGAACTGAGTCCTCTGCCATCACTAAATCATTCCTAGCCCAGAAGTCCTGGGGTTTCTCAACCCCAGCACTCAAGAAGAAGCCTCCATGAGGAAATGAGTGTGGCATGAGTCAGGAAATGAACAAGCAGCATGAAGGGAAGCAGCCACACAGCTCATGCCACTGGCTGTTTTCCATTCATCACAAGCACCACAGAAAATTGTCACTTCCATGAAGGCTATGCCTGGGCCTGGGGCAGTGCAGGGTCTCCATTAAAGGCAGCCCAATTCCTTCACCCTCTAATCAACATCTCTCACCTATTACTTCCTGGCAACCATGTGTGTCTGAAACCCTTCTCCAATGTCCTTTTCTGATCATGGTTGTGTTGGGCTTGACTGAGATGGATTTTCCACTGAGAGAGAGACAGAAGCCTTGTTGCATCTGGCTAGCCTTTTCACATCACACTGGATAAAGTGAAGACAACATTTTGACCCTTCATTCTGTTTTATAGAGCCATGATTTTTTTTCCTTAGGTGCAAAGGCTGGAAGTATTGGGACTACTTATCCAAGAGAAGACTAAGCGGAGATCTTAGCAATGTTTGTAAATATCTAATGGGCAGATATGAAGACGCTAGGCTCTTTCTAGTGACAAAACAGGTGGGAATAGGAAGCTCCATCTGAACATGTGTGTTAAAGCAGAGCACTAGAACAGGCTGCCAGAGAGGTTTTGGAATTCAAAACCCACCTGGACCTTTTCCTGTTTGAGCTCATCTGGGGAATCTACTTTAGCATGGCAGTTGGACTAGATGATGTCCAGATGTCCCTTCCAACCACTACGGTTCTGTGCATCTGTGATTCTTCCAGCCAACCAAGTTGGTTCAAGATGTGCTCATGAGAGTGCAATGAACTGCTCCTTACCTGTCACTGGCCTCCACATTCTCCCTGCAGTCTCTCCCAGTACAACATCAGCCCTGATCCATGTCATCCCTGCCATGCCCAGTATCTGTCATGTTGGCTTTGTGCCCTGCTGCCTCCTCCTGTGATAATGATCTGGTCTGACACCACTGACAGCTCCTTCCAGCAGAGCACCATTGTGAGATCCTCCACCTCTGCTGCTGTTGGCAGATCTTCAACTGTGATGGATTTCCTGCCAGCTCTGGGTGCCGTGAGTTCTCTTGCATTTCCAAATGCTGCTGCAGCAGATGATTCCCTGCTGTCCTAAAGTGACTTACAGGAGCCCAGACCGGGTCCCCTGGGGACCCAGAAGATGATGCTGGACTGAGGACTGAGATCCCGGTCATTGTTATCAGAAAGGCTGAGTGCCCAGTGCTCTCTTCTAAAGGAGGGCAGAAGAAAACATCATCAAAGCCTAATTTCCCTGTCTTCTAGACTCTCTCCCCTCTTCCATGTCTTCTGCCCTTGCAGTCCCTAAGATCCGAAAAGCTATTATGGGGGGTGTTGGCTGCTTTTCCTCTGTGGGACAGCAAGTTAGGTCCTCAGTGGGATGTCCACAATAGATGATGTGCACAAGTTTCTGTCAGCTCCTGGTACTACCTGCACTGACAGGGTTCTCTCAAAAGAAGGTAATTTCTCTCTTCAAAGTCCTCACATTTTTCTGCATCCCAACCTCTGCCTTCACACGACGCTTTTGATGAGAGTCTCATTTTGCCTAGAACAAAAGGCAATCTCTGTTGGCAGGGGATAAGGTGAGGACATGAGGGGGAATTTTCATCCTCTGGAGAGGTGGAGAGATGTGGATTTGATGAATGGTCCATTCAGTGGAAAAACAATGGGTTGGATGGTTGCACTTGAGAGAAAGTGTCTTCTCTGGCATTTCTGACAACATGGCCAATGTCTACCATTACCCTCTTCTGCTCATTCTTATACTCACTACTCTTTCCAGTCTTTTTCTCCTCAGAGATCTCTTTTAGATACACCTACAGTCTGAACTGAAGTAGTTACCTTTACAGTTTTGTGCCTGCTAGGTGGACGAAACTCCGATATCAATAGGCTATGAGTTTCTTTTCTTCTCTAGCTACTTCCCACATTGGAGGCTTCCACCTTGCTGCAGCCTTGAGTTTATCCCTGTGTGGACTATAAACCTGCAGAGATGGCCTTGGAGAACAACTTTGCATCCATCAGCTCCCTGGGCACTGGAGGGTGGATCTCTTAAAGCTGGGGAATAAATCCTTAGCTATAGAATCATAGAATCACGAAGGTTGGGAAAGACCTCTGAGGTAATCCGGTCCAGCCAGCCACATACAATGGAAAGAATCCCTGTTTGTAGAAGCCTTTGGAGCAAGATGATCTTTCAGGACTCTTCCAACACAAATTATTCAGTGATTTTGTGACATTTCTTGTGAACTGGCAGATTGCACAGAGAATGCACAAATTGAAACAGTGAAAAAGTTTTCCAGAGGACGGTTTTACATGGCATGGGGTTAAATCCCAGCCAAAAAACTCATGCACAAGTGGCCATCAGAGTGAGCTAAGAAGGCAGAGAAAGAGAAAGATGAGGCACATCCTCGTGTACAGGAAGCCTTGGATATCCCGCTGGTGCTTTTGGGAGCTTATCCTGAGAATGACACTTCAAAGAGCTTCTCTGCTGTGAACCAGGCACACTCTGGACCCATCAAGCACTAAAGCTGTCTCATCTGCCTCACTAATGCAATTCAGCCCTATAAATCTTTGGGCATTTCCTTGCAGCACTTCAAAGAGTCCTTCATTAGAGAATGGGCATAGGAAAAATCTAAACATGAAAAAGCAGCACTGCAGGAAACCAGAACACAGCAGGGATGGCTTGAATTCACAGTGTACTTGTCATAAAATTATTGCCTGTTTCAGCGATGCCTCTTGGCTTGCAGCAATGAAGGACCAGTATAAAAGGCAGCCCAATTCCCAGCTCCCCCATCCTCTTCTCTTGTCTCCTTCTCGTTGGGAACCAGGTAAGTGTGAAGCCCTCTCTCCTCTTCAAGCAAAGTCAGATGGTGCCTCAAGAGTCATTCAATCAGATAGTGGAGGTTCTTGCTGTGGGAGACTGTGGAGGGGATAAGGTGTGCATAGAGAATGCTTGGAACAGCTCACATGGCTTTAGATTTACCCAGTCTGTGAGAGTCTCCCTGGGTGAAACTGCTGTTTGTAGGGCCATGGCACAATGAAGGGCTGTGACCTGCTATCCCAAGCCACCTTCTCCATCCTTAGTAGTTCCCTTGGCTCCTTTGTGAGAGGCTATCCAGGCTGTCCCTCCCATATTCTCGTTTCCTTCTACATTCTATTCCTCTCTCCTAGGTGTACATCCATTCCTGAGACATGTCCTGCTACTCCCAGTGTGTGCCATGCCGGCCCTG